GCCCCCGAGGGAGGCAGGGGGAGGCTCCAAAGGGTCCTGGAACACACCCTAGGACTCTTTGGAGACTCCCCCTGCCTCCCCTGAGGGCCAGAGGGGATGAAATCGCCACTTTTGGGGGCTCTTCTGAGGCTTGGGAAACTTCAGAAGAGCCCCAGAAGGTGGCGATTTCACCCCCTCTGGCCCCCGAGGGAGGCAGGGGGAGGCTCCAAAGGGTCCTGGAACACACCCTAGGACCCTAGGGTGTGTTCCATAAGATGGACCTCTCCATAAGGCTCACCAAATTTTAGGAGAAGAGAGCAGATAATTTTTTTTCCTGTGTTCTTCTCCTAAAAATTTGGTGCGTCTTATGGAAAGGTGCGTCTTATGGAGCGAAAAATACGGTATGTCCTTCAGAAAATCCTGCTTGGTTAAGCCACTGTCACTTGCTATGCAAGGCTTGGTTAAGCCACTGTCACTTGCTATGCTAGTTAAATGGTGACACCTAGTGGTGGAACAAGAGCATGTTGTGGCAGACTTTCATCTTTTAAATGCCCTATCACCTGTGACGTAGGTGCTTCGTTTAAAGAATTATATTGACCTTGTAAGCTGTTCTTCCAGCTTCTTCCATTCCAGTTCACTTACAGAAGCTGGATAAGGAAACATGATAATTTGGTGGAGGGGTTGAACTGCAGGGGAGAGACGTGTAGACTAAAAGAAGCTTTAGCAACCCCTGATTAAACGTATTTGCGGCCCCATCCTCCCTACACTCCATGATTGGAGAAGAGCATATATAATACATATGATATATAATATATCTGAACATACAGTATAGTAATAGTTGTATGTCATCAAGTCAAATTTGACTCAATGGCAACCCTTTCCAGGATTTTCTAATTATAGGGAATTCAGTTCATTGTCAGCTGAAAACTCTTTTTTTAGAACACAAACTTCAACCCTTCCTGTATGACAGAAGAAGCTGCTTGTTCAGCAGCAGCTCAGTAAACCCAGGTTTACTGAGGCAGAAGAGAAGCTGAGCACAACTCTGCCAACTCTTTTGTATAGGAAGTAAGCTTATTAGTCCCATCTAGCATAGATCAGCACTGCAACCAGTGCATGTATATCTGATAGGTTCCTTCCTTGCTAAAAGGGAGAATGGGGCTGCTTGTTTCAGTGGCAATGCAGAGATAGAGGGGAACAGCAGCACTTCAGGCAAGAAGGGTCCAGATTAGTTGTTCTCCCTGAACCTGTAATTTGCAAGGCTGATTTAAAATTGATAGGATGCCACCGACCAAGTAAGGATTGTGTAATGGCTTCAGAAATTACTGGCAGCAGACCTAAGGTTTAGGCCTAAGGTTTGTCACTGCTTGAATATACTATTCTGAATAAAATATCCTTTTTTCCTCCCTTTGCTTCTTTCTAGTCAAATGTTATTCCACCATCAGCAAATGCAACTGTGAATTTCCGCATTCATTCAGCTCAAACAGTTGACCAGGTACTATGAATATGTGTGTTATGGTTTCATTCAGCCTTTATCCTTAATCTTTGAGTTTGTCATAGGCTAGTCTGGGGCTCTGAAGTGGCCTCCTGGGTCTGACAATGAATCTGACTGGAAAATGCTGTAAAACTGAATTGGAAATTCTTATAGTTGGCACATTTGTACCCCTCTACATTTTCTGATGAGCCCTGATTTTAAGGTGTAGTAGCCACCCTCTGTCATCAAGATAATTTTCCTCTTTCATCAGTATGTGCATGTGTTTTTTCTCCCTTTGTGTTTCTGCACCTTTTTAGCTCATCCAAACCTGATTCATTTTATGACGTTTCCCTTCCCAGTCCAAAGCTTGCCCCCTTTTCCCTTCTTGAAAGACCCTTGTCCCCTGCATTCATAAACAGGCCAATTATGGTTGTGATTTAGCACTATGGTGCTTCCCTAGTCTACCAGCAACAAAACAAACAGGGAATTGGGCAGGAGGAAATGAAGTGCTGATTGGCAAAGAAAGAAGTGGTGGTATAGTAGCATCATCAAGAAACCCATAGCTATGGTTGCCAAGAATGATTCGGGAGACCTATAGCTGTGCCTCTTACTCAATGTGCAGAAGTGCATAGAGCTGGAATGGCAAAGCCTGTTGATTCTGAGCAGAGGGACTGATATTGAAGTGCCTTTTGATGCTGCACAGTTCCCTACTCCTCATTTTTTGTGGAAACCAATTTCGGCCACAAATCCCAGCATCTCTAAGTAAATCCCACACTTTCTCATAATCAAGCAGTAAAAAGGAAAACAGAACAAGGTAGTAGAAATGTCTCCTCTGGAAGAGCCCCTAGTTCACTCTCCTCTCCCAACAAAGCTGGCAGGATCCTACTCACTTTTCCCTGCAGGCCAGCTCATTACCCCTGAGATGAGAAGAAACCCTGATGTCACTGTTTCCCCATGGTTAGCAGCAACAGAGAAAGAGACATCTCAATAGTGATCACTGGGGACTTTTATCTGCACCCTGCCCAGCCACCCATCCTATACCAGATATCCCTTGATCTCAGGTCTAAGTTTAAACCTCACTGTTCTTATGTGCTATGGGCTGAGGAGCAAATAATGTGTCTATATGCATGTGCATGCGTGTGTAAGCTCTACCAATAACTGAGGGAGCTGTTGAGACCATTAAAAAATTGTGCATCCATGCTGAATAGCTGTGTGATGCCAGGGAGGAAGGTAAAGAGCAAATTTCTGTGCCCAAAAAGATGATTTAGCAAGATGAAAAGGGAAAAACAACAACCTTTTTTCACTTAAGTTTCCAGTGTGGCAAAAGCCAGGAGAGGAAAGAAATACCCTATGAAAGACCAGTATAGGCCACTAGGAGTAAATTCTGATATGGTGCTGGTTCTCAGTTTCTCCACATTGTACTAAGATTGGGTGGGCAGAAGTTAATTTAAAACTCAAAAAAAGGCACAGACAGCAATTCAGTGAGCTTCATCTTTTTGCATATGACTTCCTGTTCTTACAGTTGGATTGCTCTCTTGCATCTTTCTAGTTTGGGTATAGAAGTGCCAGTTTGCCCAGGGGGCAGCTAAGAGTAGAAAAGACAACATTCCATCCATTTTATGGGTGGTAGTTGGTCTTGTGGGGGCAAACTATACTCTTAATATCTGTCTAGTGGTATAAGATGGATTCTATACCACCTGCGGTCTGCCCATTGAGAATCATGGCCCACCATCATGGTGTCCACCAAGGGAACCCTCCAAATCATGTCAGATGTATGATATGGAATGAGTATCCTGGGCACGTCTGGTATGCTGTGTCTCTTCCCTTTTCTGAGTAGGAAATTGCTGTTATGGAATACTTTCTTCTTTTTGAAGATATAAAACTTGAATTGATAGTCAGGAAATCAAGGTGACAAAAGTTGATTTCCCTTTCTAAAGTTAATAACCTAACAACTGGATGATTTGTCCTGTCATTCCCCCCATCCCCACTTGTTTAATACCTCTAAGTGTTTTGTACATGGTGGATGTATCTGTGTTGAAGAGGTTTACCTAATGAAAGGCCTTTTTGAGGAAATGACCGAAAACTAATTGAACTTTCACTTACAGCATTACTGATCCCATTGCGTAAGAGAAAAGCATGCTGTCACCATGAGGCCCTTCAAGGACTTTTGTCTTGATTGTGTATCTTTATTTGGAGAGCAGTAGCTAGTTTGCAGAGTTGACACAGATCCTGGAACGCTTTAACTCTGTAATTTTAACTACTGTGGTGCTTTGGCTTATTTGTTCCTTTGGGTGTGTTCTTAGGTCCTGGAAATAATAGATGAAACAATTGATGATAAGAGAGTGGAGATAGAAACAGGGGATGCCTTTGATCCACTACCAATTAGCCCCTGGGATGACCAGACCTTTGGTGTGCAGGTTTTCCGCCAGGCCATCCTGGATGTTTTTCCAGATGTTGGCAGCACAGCTCCAGGTACTGGGAAATGCATGCTTACTTTTGACTTCCTCTTCCATTTCCATTCACCAGCTGCTATGTCGTTTCCATTTTTTAAATGTTTTCTCTCTTCCCACCTACACTTGCAACACATACCCCCTGCTCACACACTGTTAATGATTGAGAACAGTTTGTTTTCTGCTGTTGCCTCTTTCTGACCTAAGGTATGTGGCGGTTTTAAACAGTTGCATTGAAACAACAGCAATCAGAAAGTGGCAACCAGTACTGGCAACCATGGCTCTAATATCTAACTTCACATATGCAAATCAAGAGAGCTGGCTGATATTGTTTCCTTCGTTTAATGTACTGTTTCTGCTAGATTTTGTATGTTGTACTTCAGAGTACTATGAGCCTTTCCATCTTATTCAAAATAATCTACTGAGTAAAGTGTTAGTGTTTAATATTATTTAATATTTAATGTACATAGTTCTGAGTCTTAAAATGTTTATTTTTGTCCAGTCTCTCCTGTATATATATAAGGGAGAGTTTTCAAAGCTTTTAAGAAATGTTGGGAACATTATTCCCAATGCAACCAAAGTTAGCTAGAGAACTAATTTCCTCTAGTCTGTGCTCTTGGGGAAACATTCCAACATTGACTTAAATACTATCAATTTCATTTGTTATACTGAGGTTTTTTCCTCTAGGTATTTGTGTTGGAAACACTGATAGCAGACACTATGGCAGTCTCACAGATGCCATTTACCGATTTAATCCAGTGATCTTTGGTGCCAGTGATTTACCAAGGTAAAGTATTCTTGCTGAATATTTCTTAATAAAAACACAAGATCAGGCACTTGACTGTTTGACTAGTAAAGTTGGATCTAAGGGTGCAGTCAGATAGCGTTTTTTCACATGCTATGGTCCTCTTTGAGAGTGGGCTTGTTCACTCTTTTTTTTCCCAGCAACTGCATGATGTGTGGCAGTGAAACAGCCTGACACTTATTCATGCACACCCAGAGCTTTTTGGGTCCCTGGCAGGGGCTACTGTTTTTTTTGTTGTTGTTGTTGTTTTAATGTAAGCAGGCTCATTCTTTAGTTCAGTTCTGGCATTTGCAGTTGCCAGTATTGAACCAAAGCAGATAACATAGCTGCCACTGTGCTTAGCCACTCAGGATCAAATCACTTATTACTAAATTAAAAGCTTCCTCTCACTCCCCCCGGAAGAGTATGCAAAAGTTTTGGGACTTTTAAAATCATTTATAATCCAGTGTGGAATTGGTTGATTGGCAAGCCAATTTGACACTTTGCTACTTAGAAGTAAAGGTTTAAACATGGCAGCTTTTCCCTACTTCTCCACAGATGAGGATCTTTTGTGGGCTTTTTTCATTTTTCTACCTTTCCTTTTAGTGTGGAATAGGCTAAATAGGATTGCTTTACTCTTGCTGGCTTCCTACTCCAGAAACCACCTGATTGTCCCCAAGCAAGGATTGTCCCCAAAGATATATATCACCTCAAAGTGATCCTGTTTAGCCTGCTCCAACCCAATCCAGCCTGGGACAGTTTGACCATCTAGTTGCACCCTAAAACATATCTTGTAGACCTGAACTAGACTTAGATTCTTACTGCTTTTGCATTGCCTGGACTACAAGTCTGAATGCTCCATAATTTCACTGTTGGAAATTCAGTCCCAGAGGAAAGGTAACATTTTTTGTCTTTATTTCTGAAATAAATGCTTCAGGCTGTTAGGGTTTATTTTCCTGCTGCCTTCCACCTTCCCTAGCATTATTGTATTTTCTAGAGAATCCTGCCTTTTCATTATGCGCCCTAAGTAGGACAGCCTCAGCTTCAGCCTTTTTGCCTGCAAAAAATAATTCAGGCTTGATTTGATCTAGACTGGTTCTCAACCTTGGGTTACTCAGGTGTTTTTGAACTGCAACTCCCACAAACCCCAGCCAGCACAGCTGGTGGTGAAGGCTTCTGGGAGTTGCAGTCCAAAACTCCTGAGTAACCCAAGGTTAAGAACCAGTGATCTAGACCACTTGTTTGTTTTTGTGGTAGCCCAAGGTATCTGCAAAGCTCTCTTCCAGCCCCACATTTCAAACAAATCATTTCCCCCCCATCAGCGTTCTTTACTGTCCTCATTTTTTTCATTTTCATTCACCCCCATACATGGTGATCAGAAATACAAGAGTGTGGATGAACTTGGTCTTGGTCTCCAGTGACACATCCTTAAACTTGATGATATTTTCTAATTGCCAGCTTTGTTACACCAGTGCAAAAATTCATAATGTGGAGACATGAGTAGGGACTTTTCCCTTATAGTGCTCCAGTTGTGGAATGCTTTTCCTTTTGAGGTCTGATTGGCAGCAAAATATTCATAACTGAATTTACTGTGATTGTGCTGTTGGGAAGATTTTCTGACTTGGATGCCAAATTAACGTCATTGCCTTATGGTACCATGGGCCTTGGTCTGTGGCAGGATGTATTTGCTGCTTTGTCCAAGGCAACAAAATGTCTTGGACCAAGCCTGTGTAGTTGCCCCAGATGTATAAATCCAAATAGATCTTTCCCAGTTGTTAGCTTTTGTTTTGCTATGCAAATAACCAGAAGTCCAAGCATAGGCTAGAGTGTGCACCACCCTTTTTACAATCTTGGGGATGAATTATTGCAAACCCTTCATAACTACTTTGTAAAACAAGTTTAATTGGTGTGGGTGACAGTGAGGGAAATATCATTGTTGGTATTGGCACCTAGACTTGGTGCCAAAGCATATTCTGATGAAAAACATTCCTTTGCCTCTTTCTTTCTAGATGGCAGGAAACAATTTTGTTTAAGCATGCCTTTGAAAAAGGAGTGGGATGTATGTTTCAGGACATTTATCGATGCCTTATGTTTCTGTATTTTGAATTAGTTATTTATTGGTTCCTCTGTAGAGCTGGGATATAGAGATAGGTGACTCAACAAGGATGGCTGTAACATTACATTGTTCATAATATAACCATTACATCAAAGGTGCCAAAGAAAGCTAACAGTATTTATTTTAGCAGAATGGTAACATAGGAACCAATAAATCACTAATTCAAATACAGAAGTGTGGGATTCACTCCAGACTTCATAGACACACCAAAATCAGTGGGACTTAAATCAGTCTTATTACTAAGTAAAACCTACAGGACATAACAGGCTGTCACTGCACTATGTACATTTTAGCAATGGATAACTGATGGAGATTGGCATGAAAATTGTTGCTTTTTTCTTTCTCCCTCTCCCTTTTTTAAATTAGGTTCCATGGGCTGAATGAAAGAATCTCCATTGAAGGTTATGAAAGACAAGTGAAATTTCTCTTTGAACTCATTCAAAATAGTGATTTCCACCAACCAATAGAACCACATATCAAGCTTCATGAGTTATGAAACAAGAAAGCCGAAAGGTTTGAGGATGTTGTTGCCATCAGAATTACACAGAGAAGCTGTGCTTCATCTGACCCTCTGCTCCTGAACTGAGTTGAAGTGATAGGCATTCATATTTATAGCCACAAATGGTTGTGAAATGTACTAAAAGGTAAAGCGAACTGGCTAATTAATTTGTGGTGTGATAAAGGTATTATGCTGTAATTTGTAGCTCAAAAACATTTGATCTCTACATTTTTAGGATTGAGCACATAAGACAGTGCTATAAAGTTTGCATAATACAAATCATTAAACTGTTCTCTTAAATTGGAAGTGGGCAATATCTCTGTGTTTTGGGTATCCAAGGGCCATAAAAGCCTTCACATATACCAGACATGATTCAAGGTCATTTCCAGTTACTAAAACCACTTACACTTTGTGGATGGGGGCGGGGAGAGAAAGGGTATTTCTCCCAAAACAAGATGCAGTGAAATATGCCTCTTTTAATAAGAGATTGCAGCTTCCACCTCATCATAAACAGAGGGAAAGGGACTTATCTGCATGGAAGCATAAGGAAGCTGCTTCCTTTGTATATTTCTAAAGATACTAGATACTAGTTTTCTAGCCTTACATATTAATAACCTGAAGTGTAAGTTACCACATATGTTTTTGCATTTTCAAATCAGCAGAAGTCAAGCAAACAGGATTTTACTTCTCCAAGTCATCTCTCAACTTTATACTTTTGAGGGTTTTTTTAAAATGTTCTCTTAGTATTGCTGCATTTTGTTAACTGTTTAACAGGAAAATATAATAAAGACCTCCACAACTTTGCAGAACTATTTTCGCTACACCCACAAGAAAGTGACAAGTGATTTACCTCGTGTAAGCTAAACATTACAAAGGCACAACCAAATCTGGAGTGCACAGCAGGGTGTAGTTTGACATGTCTAATAATGTGAAATGTCTAGCATCTCTTGCCTCCCCTCCTGAAGTACAAAACACACATGCACAAATTTTAAAATTTAGATTTTTAAATTGCAGTAAGATTAGCATAGACAGCAAAGAACAAAGTGGCTTAGTGCTTTAATCTTGCTGACCCAGCACTGTTTCTATTGTTGGATTTTATTTCTTTTTAAGAAAAAAGGGCTTGGTGTGAACAGATATCTACAAGAAAAAGAACAACTGCCATTTGGAGCAATTTTGGTACCAGAGCAGGAAGGGAGGGTGCATAGAGGAATGGTAAAGATGTTGGGAAAGGGAGTGAAAAAGACAACAGGGTGGAGAAATTGACAGTGGAAGAGGACAGGAGAAGGAAATGAAGCATTATGAGAAGATGTTCTTTTCTTCCTCTGTATGGATGGGAAAAACAGAATGTCCTGCAAATAAAAACCTTGGATGTGTAGATAGGACAGGAGTGGGTATACAAAACAAACAGTAGTTTTGAAAAGAGGTGGTGTGGGATTGTGCACTAAGATGCTTCAAATAGCCCTCCGTAGTGGATGACCCTGTGGATTTTGTTGATTTCATGTACAATATGTTGAGAGAAGAATTTTAAAGCTTAGCACAGGCAAGCAGGAAATGAGAACGGAATCATTTTCTTCCTCACATCCTCCCTGCTTTTCCAAGCAGGAGTTATTTCTTTTGCTTCTAACTTTAAAGCACAATCAGAAGATAAAAACAAGTGGGATAAAGCAGCCGGGGAAGAAAAATTAGGGGTAGAGGTCAGCTCATCCTTCCACCTGCTGTTCTTTAATTGTTATCCCATCCCTTCAGTTCTGCTACCTCTAACATTCAGGTAGTCTGTCAGGCAGTTGCTTTGTGATACCACCTTCCGACTAAGCCAGCTTTTTTCTCTTACAAAGGTGTTCTTCATTTCAAAAAATATTTAAAAGATGATTTTCTGCAACTCAGGACTATTTTATATTATTTCAAGACTGAGCCCAAAATTTCCTAGTCATGACTTTCACAGAATACTAGAGGTGCTAGTTAGCTGTTCTTCACCCTGATAATTAGATTGCTAGCATTAAAATATGGTGTAATTCAGACTATAATTATGCATAAAATAAAAGTATAATTTCAGAAATAAAGGTTGATGTATTTTAGAGATATTTAATTCACACAATTTTAAAAAATCACTGAAAAGGTTCATGGGGTGGAATAATTTTTTAATGTCAAGGGCTGGATTTTTCTTTGGGTAAAATTTCATGGCAGTTGACTAGATAGCTCAGTGGTTTAGGTATCTGGTTGTGGAGCCAGAGGTTGAGGGTTTGATGGACCATTGTGCCTTCTGCGAGTAGACTATTAATATTTTATTAATCATAGAGCGTGCTTCCAGGTATTTTTGTTATGTGCCTTGAAGTTGGAATGGATTTATAGTGACCCTAATAGGGCTTGCAAGGTGAGTGTGAAATTTAAGGAGTGTTTTTTCCAGTGCCACACCCCTAGTGAGTTTCCATAGCTGAGCACAGATTTGAACCCAGGTCTAAGTCCTAGTCTGTCACTCTATCCACTACATCACATTGTTTTAAATATAAAAATATTAGTAAAACGTAACTTAAATGAAAGTGCTGTGACATTGTTTTGAAGTGTTATAAAAACTGTTAGTGAAAAGAATGAAGAGAGGGGAAAAGTCACCATTATACCACCATGTTTTAGCTCAGTGGTTCTTAACCTTTGTTACTTGGATGTTTTTGAACTGCAACTCCCAGAAACCCCAGCCAGCACAGTTGGTGGTGAAGGCTTCTGGGAGTTGCAGTCCAAAACTCCTGAGTAACCCAAGGTTAAGAACCAGTGCTTTAGCTAATTACTTTTAAACTAATCGAATTAAAAATTGAGTTTGTAGTAAAAAGGTTTAAATAGATAAGTACATGGTTGCAACTAAACAAGATTGTTTCGATTTTGTTTTCTTTGGTAGAATGCCACTCCAGTGAATTTGATATTCCCACTTTCCCACCCACAGTGATAAGCTACACACACTGGTATGGACAGAAAAATCATCAGGATGAACATACATGGGGGGGCTGGTGCAATATCGTCTTGTTTACAGTGGAAGAGCCAGGGTTCTGCCTCTGGAAGCTGCCTTTCATTTTTGTTGACTTGGAAAATATTTGTGTGGCAGGGTTTTTTGTTACACTGTGTTCTTTGACTGTGAGCATTACTTCCTGGACTCCAAAGAAGATTTAGACATCAGTTACCAACAATGTTTGGAGTGAAAGGGTTTGTACACAAAAACACAACACTTTTTTGCCTGGAAGTGGGGCAACCCTGATATCTGCTTTCCCAAACAGATCAAGTGTAGGTCATTTGTTGGAGGAAGGTGAAATCCTGAACTTCTGCTGCACAGCTAGAGGGATTTGACCAAAAGCTCAGAACTCTGTAACAGAAAATACTACTTACTGAAGTGGTGTAAACACAGTTGCTACTGCATCTAGTAAACTAGGATATGCTAGTGACAAGAAAGTTGCCTATCTTCTGGCTGTATGCCAGACTCACATTATCTTTGTTCAGCAAGAGTGCAACACGACAGCGAAGAAAGAGCAGTGCATCACTTCTAAAGCAAGGTCAAAGCCCACACCTGCATTTTCTAAAACAAGCTCTGTTTGCCAGCTTCTATTTTAAGGCCTACGTGTATTCTGAGCCTGAGATTACAGACAGCTTGTGTTTCTCAGGCCATAAGATGTCAGGTGTTTTAATAACAAGGCAGCTTCACCAAGTGGAAGCTGTTGCAAGTCCCACCCAGCATACCTCTGTTTAATTGCAACTTCTCCAGGCACACTTCTCCCACCCCTATCCCCAGTACCTTCTAAGAAAACCATCCACCAGCCAGCAATAGTTAATCTACATGGTTCAGAGGCCAGATTCCTCTGAATACCAAATGCTAGAGACACACAACAGAAGGACACTGTGGCCATAATAACCTGCTTGTAAACTTCCTGCAAGTGTTTGCAGGCCATTTAGCTTAGTGGTAGCTCATGTGGATTACATGTGAAACATCTCCAGTTCCAGCTCTGGCATTGCAATTAGGTCTAGGAAACAGGTTTAAATACAATGGAGAGCAGCTACTAGTCCTTATATAAATAATATTCAGACCAATAGTCTGACTCAATACAAGGTGAGTTTCCTATGTTTCTTCAATTAGAAGGTGACAAATGAATTGATCAGTAGAGTTGTTTTTCAAGTTGATGGGGAGCATAGGAAGATAGGGCTGAATATAATTTTCTAGTTTACAGACCTTGCATTAAAGCAGTCCCATAAGGCTGCCAATTAGCAAAATGAGAATGAAGCATTGATTTAAAATTCTAATTGCTTCTCTTCAAAGGTAATATTATCCTTCTAATGATTATGGAAATTCCAGTTTAACACATCTGGAGAGAATTAGGCTACAAAAGGCTGGATTCAACAGATTCTTGGAGTCGGGATAGGGGATGTGTGATCTGCCAGATTTTGTTGGTCAATATTTGTCCTCAGCCCTAGCTAGAGATGCAGACCATTAACCTCTGGAGAACCAAAAATTGCCTACTCCTGTCTTGGAAGACAGTTTGGGAACTGCTAGAAACCAAGTATTAAAAACAAGGAACTGTGAAAAACAATCATCTCTATGTTCTGCTTCTGAGCTTTCAGATGCATTTGGATGGTCCCCTTACCTATTCACCCCTAACAGATCTTCCCAATTACAGTACTGTACTTATAACCTAGAAAAAGAACATCCCAATTTTTCATTCATTATCTTTCATTCAAATTTTCATTCATTTCATTTCATTCATTGTGCCTTACCCCACATCTCCTTTAAGCCTCAGATCTTGACCTCCATTTTAACCCTTGGTGCAACCACACAGTGAGGAAAATGTGAATTAATTTACTGTGAAATTTCACCAGGGAATGAGGTCACACGGAAAACAGGCGAGTGCTCCTTTTCTTGCACTTTGCTAGCAATTCTGCATATGGACCTACAGGTGGTAACACTACAAAGAACTGCCTCACAAACAATAAAAAGGCTTCTTCCTTGAAATTTTCTCATAGTTATATCATTAGCTTTAAAAAAACCCTCTTACCCATGGAAACAAGCTTAACTTCTTCACCTATCAATTGGGCTTCCCTTTCTGCATTGGTTCAAAGTGATCACCCAGTTTGAATAGAAGCAAAAGGAGTCAACTTTTTAAAAAGTAGAAAGGTGTCTGATGGGGAGGAAAAGCTACTACAGATTGGGGCTGTAGGACTCCAGGCTTGATTCCCATTTCCTGTTGCATCATGTGATTAACAGGAAAAAATGTGAATCAGCCCGCCCCAGATCGATTGTATTTTCCAGATCCCCCCCCCCATATATTCAG